TTGACCTGAAAAAACTGAGAAGGGACAGTGCCTCAAATAACCTGATCCAAACTTAAGAAGGACTCTAAAGGTGACAAAAGCACCTTGAATGGCATCAGGAAGCATTCTGACAATCAAGGCAGCTTATGGAATAGTGGTGTTACACGTGCCAAATAACCGGCACCATTTACTATCTGTGCTGCCACATTCTGCACCAACTGAAGCTTCTGAATGCTCAAGAGCAGCCTCATGTAAAGTACATGGCAATAGTCTAAGTGGGAGGTCATCAGGATATGAGTAACAGTTATGCAGCTTATTTCATTCTGCTTCTCCTACTATTGGGCATTCCTAATTTAATGACCATTCGTTCAGCGACCATTCCAAGTTACAATGGCAGTGAAGGAGGGAAATTAAGATCGTCCCTAGTATTTACAGCCATTGCAGTGTTGCTACAGTCACCCAATCACGATCCATATGCTTGCTAACTGGATTGCTGTTATGACATTGTAATGTCCCATAGTCATAGGATCACTATTTGTAACTTTCAATGCTGGTTTCCAACTAGCAAAATCAATGGGAAAGCTGGTAGGAGGTTGAAAATGACAAACATATGAATGCAGGATGCTGCAACTGTTCAGGATTTGCCTAACAACAATTAGGACTGCTGGAACTGCTTTTGGAAGTTGGTATGGTCATGTGACATCATGCTTTATGACCACACTGGTTAGCAATCGAGTTTCAATCTCAATTACTATCAATAAGCAAGGATACTTGTATTTTTCAAAATGGTCAAAACCCCATATTTTAGCCCATTTTATTTTTGATGTTGGTGAAATCACATGGCATCTGAAATGCATGCTTTGAACATATCTTTATAAATTTGCTTATAAATTTTTAGAATCCATCCCTATCGTTAAGGATTCTGGGCAACATATAAATATGTAACCTAACTTACAATATGGAAATAAAATTCCAAGTATATATACACTGAAATGAAATAGCTTTAAGTTACTTTGGAAGGCTTCAGGAGGAGAGTTCCAAAGGGTAATGCTTATTACAGAGAAGACTTGCTGCCTAAGCCACTCCCATACATTTCTTCTTTGGGCAGGTACTGTCAACTGGCTTCCTCTAAAGGATTGGACTAGACAGGCAGATTTAGTTTACAAAGGCACTGACTGCTAAATCCCAAGAAAGCATAATAATTAGGCCGCCATACGAAACCAACAAATATAATAACCAGGTATCAGAATTGGGCTTGGAAGCTGACTAGCAATCAATGTCATAATGATGTTTATGTTCAGAGGCTGGCAGGACTTTTACCACAAAATTTATGTACAAAGTTTTCTAGCATATATTATGCAAACTCAGCCAGTAGTGACTTATTTAAAAACATTATTAAACAAACCACAGTTTAGTAAGATGGGTGAAGCAGGTTAGCAATTATATGTGCTCAAACTGTGCATCTGCTTTCACTTAATTTAATTATTGCTACTTTAATATAAAAAACAATCTCTCCTTGGTGCGTGGGGAAATGTGGTTTTGTGTATCTGTGTATATGTGATCAGCATATATCACAAGCACAACTATAAAACATTAGATATTGTACAAATCCAATCAGATACAGGTAATACCATTCATTCAGTAACCGTCTGAAGTTAAAATAGCAATAAAAAAATGACTTAGAATTGGTCCTTGCCCTTAATGCTATCACAGCATCCCCATGGTCAAGTGATCAAAATTTTGGTGCTTGGCAACCAACATGTATTTACAACAGTTGCAGCATCCTGTGCTCATGTGATCAACATTTACGATCTTCCCAACAGTCTTCTGACAGCAAAATCATGGGGGAAGCTGGATTCACTCTAACGACCATGTGATTCACTTAACTGCAGTGACTCATTTAATAATCATGGCAAAAAAGTTCTGAAATTGGCCATGATTCATTTAACACCCGTCTTGCTTAGCAATGGAAATTCTTGTCCCAATTGTGATCGTAAGTCAAGGACTACCTATATAAGTATTGGTCATGCTGGCGGGCGACTGATATCAACTACAACTCAGCAATAACCAGAAGGCTAAACCTTGATTTACTATAAGACTAAAATAGCCATTATTCTTTTATTTTTAAAAAGTGTATTTAAAATTTAATTTGCATTAAAATGTAAATTAATGTAATACGCATTAGTAAATGTCATAACAATACTTATGAAAAAGGATTGAATGAGTTAATTAATATTTTCTACAGTTAGACTCATTAGATCCAGAACAGTAGCTTTTCTTTTTGCAAGAAAATTTCTCATTGCCCACTTCTGAAATCTGACACTGCCAAATCTAATGTTGTTGGAAACTTATTCTGTTTATAAAGATGAGAATCTTTTTATAACATAACTCAAGGTTAGTAAGAGAGGAACTGAGCAGTGAGTAAATGCTTTGGATGTCAGGATAAAAATATTTAAAGCTAGTAAAGTTACACCAATATCTGGCGTTCTAAACAACCTTTTATCATATACACAGATGGGAAGAGAATATAATCTGCTTGTTAAAAGATTTTAAGGCCAGAACTAACTGATCAAATTCAATTCCACATGAATTCTGCAAAGAGAGTTCATATTGATAGAGAATCCTCCATAAGAGCAATCAGTGTTAACCTCTCCTTGGTGCTAGATTGCAATCATCACAGTTCCAATTAACAAACACTAAAATTAAGCTATGTTGTTCTCATCTAGTATATGATTAGAGTCAACATCCTCAAGTGACTCAGCAAATTGGCAAACAATTTTATTATGATTTAATTAAGCACCGGGTGAGAGCACTACAAATATTTCCCATTTTTAGTCACCAAAACCAGCCTCAAAATTCTACTATACAGAATTCAGGCTGGCTTCCCAAGAATAATTCTATTTACATACTCAAATCAGCTGCCTCTCTATTCTTTCACTATAATGGAATCTCCTTAGATTATTATTTTTTTTTTTAAAAAAAAGAGCCAAAGATAGCGCCCATTTACCCTACAATGAAATGTCTATGGAGATTCTCAATCATCCAGGTCATGGTTGTCCCAAAGTTGTTTTTAAAAAGGCAACTGGATTTTCTTGAATTTTCCCTGAAAATTTTTGCTTCTCATCCAGAACTGAGTAAGTTTCTTGGATGAGAAATAAAACATTTTCAAGGAAAAAAAATCAAGAAAGTCCAGTTGCCTTTTGAAAAGCAACTTTGGAACCTACAATGAAATGAGCATAATCCCAGTGATCTAAGGAAGTTTAAATATTCTTCAACAAACCATTCAAGAGTTCACCTCACAGTAACAATCTACCTGCAAAAAAAGTTTTAGATAGCTCACATTAAAGAACTGTAGCAATTTGGTATTGGGGATTTGACAGCATTTTGTTTCTATTCACATATATCAAAAACAATATTATTCATACTCGATAAAACATGGTTTCCGATGTAAGAAAATTGTTCATTTTAATTTTTTTTAAAATAAGATTTTTATACATTTGTACATTTATACATTTATTTCCACATTTGAAGAACAATCTGGAGATAAGATTGAGATGTGTTATATTCATTGTGCAATCCAGTTATTGTCCTTATATTATATGAATAAAGAATACCTAGGTGAAAGTTTAGTAAAGAACATTAACTTGACCATAAACACCAGGAGAAAAGTATCACATAATGCCTCCTTTCATCTTGATAGGATCTATTTAGTTCATTACTTTTGATGTACTAAATAAATAAATTGAAACTGAAATTGTTGGATCTCAGAACTTTTGGAAACAAACTTATGAGTAAAATAAAGTTTGCACCCAAGTTTTTAAATGTGTTAATCTATTTTAATTTCCTTTCAAAATTAAACTATTCCTAATGCAATTTACAACAGGCAGTTTTTCTGGAATGTTTAAACAATTCAATCGATCTTTGCTGATCTACTGTGCCACAAATCTTCCAGAAAGTTACCATCTCTGACTTAAAGAAAACAAAGTTAGATAAGGGGGGATAAAAAGAGCAGTTGGAACATTTTGCACTTCTCCTATGTGGATGTGTCACCATTTTTTTCAGTGGGAAAAGCGGAAGTTTGGGAAAACAGAACCTTGCACTGAATTTTCTTTTACCAAAACTTCAGGTATTGCTTAAGTGTAACTGTTATAGGGTTGCCATAAAAGACAAGATCCATATACAAGAAACATTAAGCACAAACATAAAAAAATCTACCAACAGTATCCTTATCTGTATACATGATGCAGGTATCTGCAAATATATTCAACACCCAAACTTACAAAACAGCTGCCAAATCTTAATTCCTGAAAACTTTCAATTTATATTATGCTCAATGAAAACCTATTAGAGAAATGATGTACTGCAATATATGTAGCACATTTCCAAATTTCTACAGAAACATATTTCACAAAATTCAATTTAACAAAATTAAATTTGATTCCCAAATCGGCACAGAAGACAGCACTTCTACAGTATATGACTGAAACTTACTTTACAATATAAACATACTGTGATAATGTGTGTGTTGTCATACACTATCTTTCCTATTTGCAGATGAAAAAAGTTAGCCAACAGATTAGAATGAATTACATTTTTTTAATTTACCACAAAATTTGTGGTCTTAGCTCTTCTCTGATTTTAACTAGCCAAAACAAAGATAATGTATTCTGGTGAAAGAGGTAAAGTTTTATGTTTACTATTGTTATTGTCCAAACAGGGATAAAAACATATATTTTTCAGTATTCTTAGAATAAGAAAAGAAAATACTGTATATATTTTAGGAGGTTTTATTTTAAAAAGAAAGGGAAAATGTGTTTTGCAAAGCTTCAAGAGTTCCCAAGCTTCCTATCACCAGTAAAACTCTGAGGTACAAGCTTCTATATCCCCTTGTGATCAGGATAAAATTAAGAGAGAGCAATTAAAACCTACTTTTATCACGTCAAATTTTCACTACTGCCCTACATCATGCAAATCTGTTACCGCCAAGAAACAATGCCAGAGACTAACCAAATATTACGTACAAAGTAGTTGCGTCCGTCATCCGAACTCACTTCAACTTCATTGTGAAAACAGCCGAGGAGGGAAACGCAGAGGCCGCGACGGAAAAACAGGCGGCTTCCTTGCTCCTCTCGAAGGGAATTTCCAGAGCGCCTTTACCACTTTTTATCGTGTAAAATGGAGATTTCCGAATCGAGCCGGAAACCAGCGGGCTTGTTAATTGACTTTTTCACAAGCTACCCCCTTTCACAAGCTACAAAACTAAGCTGCACGAGCGCGAGGGACCCCGTATCTTCACCCCCAATTTCGTAACTGAGACCCTCCCCACCCAATCAAAATCCCTTCACCTCCCCCTCCCCTTTGGGAGGGAGGCACGAGCCGCCCCACCGCCAACTGTCTTCTCACTTCGCGCATGCGTCCCAGGCACTTCTCCGATTCCTCCCCCCCATCCAACTTTACCTCAACAGTTTTTTGTTTTTTTAAAAAAAGCTGAAGCCTTTTAACTTTGGGGGAAAAAACCCCAAAACTTCTAAAATGTTCGTACCCTCGGGAAAAAAAGTGTTCCAGTCTTTTTTTAAAAAATCCTATCTCCCACGAACTGCCATCTTACCGGTTTGGTTTCACCCGACTGCCGGCTCCGCCCGGCTCCTTGACCGCCGCCGCCGCCGCCGCCGCCCGGACTCTCCACAGCTGCCCCTTACAAACCCCTCCCACTTCGTGATTGACAAAAACTCCCACCCTATTGCATAACCCTATGCAAACTTCTTGGAGCGCTGCCGTCATATAAAAGCGGGCCGAGTCCGCCCCACTATCAGATTGACAATAGAGGACAAGCAATGGGAAAGCACCATGCTCTCCAACTTCTGTTTGATCGTGTCATCGGGCGCTGTCCGATTCCGGAATGATGGAACCCGACGACCAATCGGCAGCCAACCTCCAGAACAATCTGATAGGCAATTTAGACAGACCAATCGTACCTGGATCAAGTAAAAATGTGTCCAACTACACACGGAAGGCGGGCCATCCTTTCCCTACACTTAGTTGTTATTGGTCGTATCGCGACCAATAAGGACGCATGAAGAAAGTACTCTAGTCATTTCCCGGCAAGGGCGGGCTTGTTGAAGGCCACGCCCACCCACCAATATACGATCAGGGCAAACCAATCGGGTTCTCCCGGCAAACTCCACCCCCTTAACCCTTGCTACTAGACTCCCCCATCCATCACTTGGAGCTTACTTCCCGCCGTTATCGCTTCCCAAGACAAAGTAATTTTCTATGGCAGCCATTTTGGAAGTTTCTCACTTGCGCCCCCAGAGGCCAATGGACACGTTTCCTCCCTTCCTCCGCCTTCCCACGCGAAAAAGTGCAGATTTTGCTTGACGTCTGTGGCAGTTAGTTATGTGAAGTCCTTTGAGGAATTAGATGCTCCTCTACAGCCCCGATTCAAGGGCTATCTTAAAAGTGAAGACGCAATGGGGCAGGTGGAAGGTTCACTTTCGAGGAACATCCAAACTGATTTCATAAGTAGCCAGACCATGGATCAAAATTGAATTAGAACCAGTGTGTTGTGATTTGTGGTGGTAGAAGGATGAGGTGAAACAGACGTATCTGAGCGTTTTTACTTTCTTAGACCTGTCTCCAGCCGGTAGGATAGGCATACTCTATGCTTTACAGGCTGCAACAAGAAGCCAGTGTTGGCATCCTTACCAAAACATGCCATAAGTCGAAACTGAATTGCAGTTCTTATGCTTTGAAATTGTAACTCCAACACAGGGAACAGTTGTGGCTTCCCAGCTACAAGGGGGAACTGCAGAGAACTTATTCAGGCCCAATTATGTGTATACCTCACACTAAAGATGTAAGAATTCATTAGGACTTAGACTTGCAGATGCTAAAAGTTAAAAGCTAGGAATTTCTGGCAGCCAATATCCCATAGGAATATATGGGCAAAAGAAATAAACACTATAGCTAGAAGGAGCCTAAAATTAAAAAGAATTACATCTTGTGTACAGAAGCAATTTAATCTTATTTTTTTAATCCACATTTGGATATTGGTACTCTTCATGTCCATCAATCCTAGCTAACATGCTAGATTTGCAATCGAACACCAGAAAAAAGCTAGGCTATTTTCCCCTACATTATTTTACAAAACTTATAGTGAACTCATTGCACATTTTTATGGCAACACATGCATTTGAACTTTTCCTCATAGCAATTTTTTTAAAATATTTGTCTCCGCACAAAGATTGGAAAAATGGATACCTTGAACCTTATTTCAAAAATTAAGCCCCAATGGATTTTGGGAAAGTACTATGAAGGTTTTATAAAAACTATCAGGATGATATTCTTTGCAGTAACATAGGACGTTCTATAAACTGAAGTGCAATTCCTTTCTCATCACTGAATGGCACTAACTACCGGCACACCAGCTTTGAAGTCAGTGTCATTTGATCAAATTGGCCAATTCTATAATTCTTTCTGGGATGAGAAAGACAATTTAGTAGTTGGAAAATGACTTCATCACTGTTAAAATCCTTCCATAATAACCAACCCTTCAGAAGATTCTGTAAAAATCCATTTGGGAAACAAAATGATGTTTTTTTCAAAATGCATTTGCTAAAGCATGTAATTGAAATTCCTTATGAACAGTTCCTGTGAACTGTTTGGTTTTGGCATGCATGTGAATCCAGCTTGTAAACTATAATATTACAAATGTGTTATATGAAGACAGCCATCTGTGGTTCAATAAACTATAGTTAACCAAGCTGGCTTAGCATGTTGCAAACTCATCAGTTGTGCCAATGAAAGGGCAGAATATCTCATTTAATTATAAAGTTATGAAAATAGGTGAATAAATACAAATATCAATTATCCATGAGACTTCTACAACTTTCAAAGACAATGTCACAATGATTTCACCTGACTGTAGTAACAAAGCTATACAGATTTCACATTCCAATTTACTAACTAGAGCTGTAACTCTAAACAAGAATTGCATGCTTGATGCATATTAAGCTTAAATATATCCCGAAAAAATTGCTTTCAAGCTCATATGGAGGAATATCTTTAAAAGACAATAGCAGCCAATCAAACTACGTAAGTACAGGTATGTTTATATATTATAGAAAAGTAGAAATAAAAATGCTGCCCAGTTTCTGAAAATGGAGAATCCTTATTTACGACCCATCCAAAACTCATGGATTCAAAATCTAGACTAAAGGTATGCTATAAAGCTCACAGAAGTTTGTAAACTATTATCACTGAAGTAGTCGAGAGAATATTTCTTTGTAAACAAGGAGCTTTATAATCATTCATCCCTCTAGAGTCCTATCTTTCAATGGATGGCAATCTAAGAAAAGTTAGAAACATAATGGAACAGCTTCTTCATATTAGCCATATAACAAAGAACTGATAAATGATGATTGACTAGATTAGGATCTTAGCCAATATATAGAACCAGTGTATGGACATAGAGGAGTGAAGCTGCTTCCAGGCTAGTCTGTACACATGCACCTAATTTCATTAGGAGTTCAAGGATAGACAGTATGGTTGTCACTGTATTATTCCAGATGTCACAAACAAGCAAGCAGCAAGATACAAAAATTTCACAGCAGAGGATTAGAGGAAAGTTTTCAGACAATAGCATTAAACACCTGATTATCATGGAAACAAATTGCTTTCAAAAAATGAGAAATTATGCTATAAATCAAGATAAATTAAGAATTTGCTAGCATACTAGGAATGCCAAGCATTTGAACTGGGATGAGGTTTTATGTTACGTACATAGCAACTCTCCCCATTCCACTTGAACAATAAAGGACTACTGGCTTTTGCAAATGTTTATTGACTCATTTACTTCTCTTATCAGTTCTGACCTACACTTTCTACCCATTCATATCCTCTCCCTCTCCCCCGCAAAGCCAGCCCGGGCAAGTTCTCAGAATACAACAAAGAGGCATTTCCTGTTACTAGCTGCTTCCTCAGGATGAGAGAGGAGGCAGCTTCCCTTACTAGTAATAGGGATGAAGGAGAGGTGGTGGTCAAGGAGTCAAAACACAACACGACTAACATTAACAGGAAAGGACAGAATGGGAAGTGGATGTTAAGGCGCCTCAATAACATGACATAACTGCACGGGCTAAGGATAAGAGGGAGCAGCCGCAGGAGTGGAAAATTTCCCAGGCCCTGATGGACACAAAAAAGGAAAAAAAATCCTAAAAGATTACAAAAGTTATTTCATGTTTTGAGTCACTTTAACCGTGACAGGTGAGGGAGGGAGGCAGATCCTCCTCCACACTAACAGTCCGTGGCAGGCAAGTGGGCAATGCTAGCAAGGGGACTGCTAGCGGATGGTGTAGCGCACATATGGCACTTCTGTGTCTTCGCCACTGTCATCATTGCAGCACAATTCAAAGACTAGGGCTTTCACATGGCGCCCAATCTTCTTCTTGGAAACTCTAGTGACGATCTCCGTCATCCTGGGTGGGGGAGAGGAAAAGGATAGCTGTCAGGCAGATGCAGATTCAATTGAGGTAGCCACTGCCCTTGCTTACATTCTTAAAACAATACATACGGCTGATCGTGGCGCTCCTTCAGCTTAGCTGGCTGCATAAAAAATGAGTAAAGCATAGAGACTCCTTGGGATAGCATTGTTATCTCCAGCTTGTATTCTTTCTGTATGTGGGAAGGAAAGAAAAAAATGGTTCTTTACTGAAAAGTTTTTCATCTCCATTCGCAAGCCTCTTCTGCAGCCATTAACATATTGTGGCAAATGGCGACTGGGAAACTCTCAATGCTTACCTTGAAATAGGCCAGGAACTCACGCAGTGTCATCTCCTGTCCATCAGGCTGGATACCCTGCACCTCAAAGCGGTCCCATAAAGTCCACTCAGTATTATAGTACTGAAGAAAAAAATGTAATATAAGTGTTAGTTACTACAGTTAATGCTCAGTAAAAAATGCAACCAAGACAGAAGCATAATCCATGGCCATTTTACTCCATGTAAGAAGGCACCATAGTTATTCATAATTTCTAATATGTGAGGACATGGGAAAGATCTTAGAGGCACTCTCTTGATTTCTATATCTCTATCCAAATAACAAACAGAGAAAAGGGGCAGAAGTGTTCTCCCCTAACAGACTGTGAAAACAAAGCAACAAGTACACAAATAAAAGAAATGGAAGAGGCAGTTGCAGGAAATATCTAATTAAATAAACGCTCTTAGAAAGGTTGATTTACACAAACTTCCAAGAGGCTTTAGCATGCCTGGCTCTCTTTCCCTTCTCTACCTTAAGTTGCAAAACTTACCAAAAAATAAAGGAAAATTTTTTGACAAGCCTTAGGTAATATTCTTCACATGGTATTCAAAGAAGGGACTATCAAATGCAAGCTGAAGATATTATTTTTTCCATTTAGTACCAGAGGCCACTTGTGTAAGGAAAAGATGAATATATGTGAAAAAAGCCACCCCACTCACCTTGTTCTTTGGGCAAGAAATAGGCTCAGAGAAGCCAAAGAAAGGCAATGCCAGGTTAAGGAAACCATTCTTGTAAGATTCAAGTCGCTTGTGGCCCTGTATTATTTTGTATAGTTCTAAACAAACCAAGCCTACTACAGCTGCAGTCGTCGTGGCAATTGCAGGTATAATTTTCCCTGCAATCAGCTTGCTCTGAAAAGAGAAGACAGGAGCTTTTTAATTTTTTACTTTAGACCACATTTAGAAGTTCAATGCAGTGTCCGTAGCATTTCTTCCCCCCCAATTTTTCAGCCAGGTGAGGTAGGTCAAGATAAAAAAGAGTGATTGGCTCAAAATCATCCAGTCAGCTTCCACGGCTGTGGCTGGGGTATTGAAAAAGTCTGCACTGTCTCCCTCACATCCCTAATACATTCTACTGTACATAATTTTTATCCATCAGAGTAAGCTTACCTTATGCCGGTCAGCAGGAGGAATATCATAATTTTCGGCTCTTAAATTAGAAGCAGCAACAATAAAATCCATATGGAAATTTGTGTCATCATCCTGAAATTTAGTACAAATAAGATGACAATTACAACCGGCAATGTCGCGATCCTCAACATGCTTTTGGCTTTGGGACTGGCACAGTGAATGCCAGAAAAAGTCTGGAGCGGCTTGCTAGCCAAACCAGAAGCTTGCCCCTGGCTTCAAAACTGAACAGCAGGGATCACTTCTGGTATCATTTGCAGGTCAGATTATAGTTAAATGACAATTTATTCATTTAAAAATGTCAGTTTGTCTTACTTTTTCAAAATCAACTGGAAACATCCTGAAGTCATGAAGTTGCTGAGGACTCGGCAGTGAAGTTTTTAGCTCTTCTAATCGGCTATCATCTTAAAAAATGTATAAATGTATAAATTTCAGAAAAAAATTGCTACAATACATGCCATCTCTTTCTCAGCAACCTAAAACCTTTTCTGATCTAAACTGATACAGTGCATTGCAATTTCAAAGCCCTAAACTTGTTTAGCAGTCAAGACTCTGCCATAAATCCATAAACAGCATTTCGAAAAAACTATTACAACCTCGTAGTACTTCTGCAAGCTGCACAAGTATTGCCCCCAAAATGAAACAACATATGCATTGTGAAATTGTGAGAGATAGCAAAAAGAAGAAACTCGGCCTTCCGTTCAATAGAATCAAAATTACTCAGAGAGAAGAATTATTCTCACTCAAAGCCTGGCATTCTTGGCTTTGCTTTGGTTAAAATCTTGCCTTTGGCAGACTCATCTCGTTCCCAGTTCTTACCAACTGAAGCATTGGCATTCTGTAGCTCCTGATCAGAGATATGGATGCGGACACCAGACTTGGGAGTGAATTCAGGAACTTGCACCTGGCACAGCAGTTCCACAATAGCTTCTCTGTCTCTAGTGCCAGTGATGCCATATGTTTGGGCAAACAAGTTTGCAGCTGCCACTACATAATCCATGTGCAAAGGCTGTGGAGATAACATTAGTTGAGTCAGACTGGCAATTTTTCTGAATTCAGCCTTTTTAACTAAACGTTCTACACATGACTAGATAAAAGTTCTACTTCAGCTTCTATCTGAACTACCTAAAATGTATCCATAGGTATATGTATAGAGTTTACATACAAGAAAACTGAAGATTATCTACTCCAGCTTAATTACATCATCCCTAGTTTCACCCATTGTCTTCTAACAAACTGCCTTATATGCTACATCCTATATGCATATTTTTTTCCTCCTGAGGATTATATTCCATACATCTAATAGATTGTGCTCCACAGCTTATGCTGTAATATTACTTAAAGTGCCTTTAAGCTTTTTTCTATTAACAATCTATTCCTTTGAAGCTGCAATAACAAAACAGATGAAGCAAAAGGTCCAAATTAAATGCTGCTGGTCTGTCATAGTGCCTTTAGCCAAAACAGGCCACGAGGAATTATTCTCATCCCTAACTATGATAATCAAATCTTGAGCAGAACCATTCATAAATTATTTTGAACAACTTTTCTTTTATCCCCTAGATCTCTCTGGGAGTGATCACAAGCTGTCTGATAGGTAATTTTAGACTTCTGTATCTCAGTATTTAGCAAAACTATCTTTGTTTTTCACTGAAAATTGCACTAGTTCATCCGCTAACAGTCTACACCTTTTTCAAAATGGATAAATGGTAAGCCCTATTTCCTCCTTCTACCCATGCTTCTATTTTTATAGCTTTATTTTTTTAAAAAATCTATATTTAAATATAAGTAATCTTCAACTTAAAACCATATTTAGGACCAGAATTTCTGTCACTAAGCAATGCAGTCATAAAGCCTGCCACAACTTAAACCTCTAACTAGAAAGGATCCCTGGCTCCACTTGTTGAGAAAGGTATAGTTTATTAGAGATCAAGTGAATTGTAGTAATTGCAAAGCCAGAATTGAAAATTGCCTGCCAAAATCCCTAAGTTCTACTTTTCCCTCCTTTAATTGACTCTCATCTCCCCCCACCCCCTTGTAACCAATTCGGTTCAGGAAAGATGTTTTCCTAATGTTTGGTATGCGGCCCCTTCCTTCTTCCAGCTGGGTGACCTTAAGGCAGAGTCTCGACATAGGAGATACAACGCTTACTTTCATTTCACAAAGCAGTCCCCCCTCATGCCCCTCCCCACAGGTCTTGGCATAGCAGCAAAGCATAAGCAAGAAAAGGCGGCAGCTGACAATGTGACTGCAATAACTGCTTAGTGACAGCAATCTCGGCACTTCCCATTTCAGTTGTTAATTGAGAATTGTGAATCTTTAAAAGTGAGTACTCATCCCAAGCCAAGCCATTGTGGGCCTGACCACTTCTGGCCCTGAACCTTGGTAAGGTAAAGGACTGCTTCCTCCTGAACTCTCCCCACCTACCTATCTTCTCCTCATCTGTGCTTTTTTTTTAATAAAATTTTTTTCATTTTCCATTTATCCAACATAGTTATACAACAAAATTCACTTTACAAAATAAAATAAATTCATAATCATAACCATAACCATAGGTGCTGCTTGCTCCTTCCCCCCAAGCTGTATCCACCCTCCCTAATACCTTCCTTACTTCCCTCCTCTTTCTTTCCTCCCCTCATTACTCTTCCCCTCCCCTTCTCCTCTTACCATCCTACTTCCTCCCTTCACCTTCCTCCCCTCTCATCCCTCTCGAATACAGGAATACAGCAATACATAGGGGAAATGCCCAAGGAGCACCTCTCTCATAAATTACCATATCTATATTATCCTATTCATCTGTACCTTTTTGGCCACTGTACATCTTTGCTTTGTGGCACGGCAAATAAACCCTGAACCACACAGCTCTGGGGCTGCTTGCCATGCTGAAGCTCTGGAGCTGTAAGAAGCCTTGAGCTCCAGTGCAATGCAAAGCCCTTTGCAGTGCAAAGCCCAGCCTGGCCCAATACCACTGTGTGAAACTATTATCCAGGAAGCCCCAGCTGCCTCAATCTAGCCACCTTTGCTGCCCTGCACTCCAAGAACTCCACCACCCCAGGTGACTTTTGCCATCTCTTTGCTCCTGATGGATGACGACGACGCATACCTGCTCCGACCTTCTGTGAGGCCACACGAGGCCATCTTCCCCAGGTCTTGTGAGGAAACTGCCATGTGTGAGCTGGGGAAGAAAGTCTCATGTGGCCAGCATGTGCCTTGCAAAGGGCCAGACCAGGCATGCTTGATCAGCAGTAGGAGCAAAAAGATGGTAAAGGTCAGCTAGGGCAGCAGGGGCCATGGAGTGCAAGGGGGCCCAAAAGGCATTGAGGGGGGGGGGAGTTGATGTGCCTCTGTGGGTGCCCAAATTTTGCTCATGTAACCTTCAGGGAATACTCATGTGTCTTAAAAAATCCCTTGCCACTGTAATTTCAAATGGGTGCTGAACAATGTTCATTAATTCGAGAACTACCTGCGTAATGCCAATATTGTATTTTGTAAGGGTAGCAGATAGAAGTAGGGATCTTTCTTCTACCACCTACCAATTAATTAGTATTTTTTTTTTCAATTTTCAAGCAGATCACAATGCTTACATTTTTGACATCAAAAGTAAGTGGATGAGGACATCGCTTTGGACCTGACCAAAAGAGGGTTCCTGAATTAGTTTTCTGAAAAGGAAAATGGAAATAGCATTAAAAGGACAACAGAGCAAAACACACCATTTTGCCGTTATAAAGACAGACCGAGGCCATGACGCAGGAATCCTTACCAACTCACCTGATTTGGGGGAAAGTTGTGCAGCAATTGACGAATATTGTTGCTATACTGGGTATGCCAATGATTACATGCCCAGGCCACACAGTCTGCCCAGGATTTAGGACGGTCTGTCACTAAGCTTTTGTATACAGCTTCCAAAACTTCTAAAGGTTGAGTGCCAGGCAGCTTTTGGGTCCGTTCCATGAATTTGGCGTCTCTGGAGAGAAATGAGAACTGGTTCTATGATTCTCCCTGAGGCTAATAGAAATAGCCATACCACGAAGATGCATTTTTTCACCATTCTGAATCATTAGAAATTATCAGAAAGCATTACACATTATTGAATAGTGTCAAATCTACTGATGCACGGAGCTATACTTGAATATTTATAATGAAAATTTAACCACCTTTAGCTGATTTTGGGCCCTCAAAACAATACAGCACTTACGTGATATACTGGTTGACATTTTCTGCAGGCTGCTTGAAAAGACCTTCAAATTCATCACGGGCCCACTGGAAAATAAAACAACAAGAGTTCCAACCTTGACACAGGAGTTAAACCAATTCATACCAAATGCTGATGTTTATAACAGTAATTTGTTTGTCTTGTGTTGAACACAACTATGCAAAATAAAGTATCACACAATAGTTGATACACATAAAGGTCAGCAGGACCTGCTAACAAGGTGAAGAGGATACTCAGTTTGCTCCTTATAGAGGAAACAAGAACTACAAGCAACATACTGAAAAGCAACTCCTTGATCATGTCAACAGCAAGATCATTCAAAAGGATCACACTCCAATTATCACCTTCCAACTACAAAGAAAACCCATTACTGTTGCTATTAAATGTTTACATCACTGGAATCTCACCTGTAGAGTATGCTCGATAGCGTTAGGAAAGTTCTTCAGTGTACAGATAGGGATAGATTTTTCAGGTGGATCTTGGCTAGAACTATATGATTCTGTTAGGAATGGGATCACCACCTGGATATTCCCTTTGGTCCCCAGTGTCCCTGATTCCAGCAGGGGCTTGCGGTAGTAGACACAGCGACGATCCATGTACATCCCTAAAGACAATTACACAAGAAAATAGTGAATGATTGCCAGTCAGGATAGCACTGGAGATTAAAAGCATCAAGTTGGATAAGTTATATTTTCAGTGCTTGAAGCAAGAGCACTCTTAACATTTCATTTCTATAACTATTGTACTTGCTGTGAGGGCACTTATGATCTAGAGGGGCAAACAAATCTAATCTTCAGTCACTTAAAACCAATTCTTTTTTTAAGTTTAAAAAATGGAGATAATGACACTAATCTGTTATCCTTCTATCCTGGATATCTTTCTAACATCCAGATTTGTACAAAAACTACGTGCAGATACCTACTTGCATCTACATTGTCCAGTGCATTTGCCACCCCATCAAGATTCTCAAAGAAGTCGTCATCATAAATACGTTCAGTGTCTGGGCCTACACGATCTTGGTGGCTTGTGATGTGAATGCTTGGGTTCATCTCTTTCACAGCAGCTGCTGCTGTATCAGATTTCATTTTCTAGATAGATTGAAACATTAAGTCTTACTCTGGGTATAGAAACTTCACATTATAGCTTCCAGAATGATCACTATTAAAAAAAACTAAAAAATAAAAAGCAAACACAGTATCACAATGGATCACAAAATGACAAGTTTCTGGCCCTTAATTTTGCCAAAAATCAACTGTTAAACCTCCTCCAAACTTCCAAGGTAAATCATGACAATTTTTCACAGAAAGTCCTATGGCTGACTTTCTATTAACCCCAGAAATCACACTCCAGATACTAATGGAACTGACCGTAACATCCCAAGGTCGGAAGAGGAACTGCCGGTTGAGATTGGACTTCTCAATGGTGTCCATGTCAGTCACTGCCACGTCTCCCCCTTGCCCGCATCCTAGACCAATCATAGCAAAGTTCTTCAGCAATTCACAGCCAATGGCACCAGCACCAACCTAAGAGAGAGGGGGGGGGGAAATGTCAGCAGGTTGCTTGGATGGAAGTACCAAGAAACTGAAAAATCATGCCAAGACTCACCAGAAAGTATTTTTGCTGGCTCAGTTTAATCTGTAATTCATTGCCAAACACAGCAATCTGTCCATCGTATCGGCAATGTTTCTATCAAGACAAGGGGGAAAAGAGACAACCAGTTTGTACCTGTTCTCCAAAGTATGGAATTTCCCTAATCCTGCTCAAAATCATAATCATAATTTCTTTATTATTATAAATACAGAACACTGCATTTTATTTATGGGCTATTTCAAAAGTTTCAAATTCCCAACGCTGCTGTTTTCATCTAAACGGTACAATAGCTTCATCATGAGCCTGTTCCTGGTCTTACATGCTATTTCAATTGCATACCAAAAATATATTACAGGAAAAGCTATATTATACGGTAATACACTCCACCATCTAATTTAGTATAAGCAATTAAAACTACTCAATTTTTTGGCCCTGACCTTAATACATAAACCTCCTAGCCTATAAATTATTTTCCCAGCCATCTTGAAGGGTACTTTTTGTGTTATTCCCAGCATAAATCTTATGCTTATACTAATTACTCACAGGACTGCAATTTTCCTCAGTCAAGGTATCCTTATTTTCTTCAGGCAAGCACTCCAGTGCATCAAAATACAGCCACTGGATGACAGGCATGAATTTGCCAGAACAGGCCTGAAACAGAGAAATAGAAAAGAACATCTCTTTGATACCACACAGTTTGGTTCTGCCTGAAAAAGCCAACTTCAGGAATAAACTGGCATCATACACCATCACACTATTAGAGAGGATTTGTTTACCAAATCCAAAGCTGCTAGTTAAGGGAAACATGGACTAAGCAGAATGCTTTATTATTACCAGTTTTTCAAATATTGTACCTTCATAACCTCTTGTGCAGCTAGGCCTCCAATGAAGGCATTGACAGGTGCCAGATCTCCAGAGGCTTGGAAAGCCATTTCCTTGATGATATCCTCGTTCAACTGTTCTTGCTTAAGTGGGGGCATTGCTTGCTCGTTGAGATCCTTCACTAAAGATAGCACCTCAGTAGCGTCTGCCTGAGGAAGGATGGAAGAAGTCAGATAAAGGCTAAGGAAAAGTCTCACAGCAGCTGTGAGGAGCCATTTTTCATTTACATCATAAACATAACCTGTGCTAAATGCAATCTGTGTGAAATAATGGGCTATCACTAAAAATGCCTATGCATAAAAGTTACATAAAATTATCACACTCCACAACCAATTGTCCCTGAATAAAAATGCACTGTGCTTAATGTAACATATTCAAACAGACGAAGAAAAGGAAATTGAGCGACTCTGTACAAGATTTACACCAGTATTCCAAGCATTATTCTTTGATTAGTGATTTTGTTCACAATAGTATCTGTATATTCTGTGATTGATATGAAGTACTGTTCCTGGAGAAAAAAAATCTCAACATGCAGACTAGAAAAAGAAAGGGGGAACCGGAATAGCCTACCTGATTACGAGGCCTGGGGAAATGGCCATGCTTCTTGTGAAACTCATGCAAAGCCTGAAATCCCAAATGCAGCTGGCCTGGCCGATCAAACTTGCCAAAGTCAGTGATGACCAACTCTGGCTCTGGCAGAGAGGCGCGCAGAGATTTCTGAAAGAAAAATAATGGAGAAATCGAAAATAGGCAGTGATGCCATCATAGCTACCCTTTTCTGCAGGCAACCTCCAAGCCGCTGCTTCCATGCCACCCAAGAACAAGCGTAGGCAGATCAAAGGGTGCCAGACTGTTCTAATGGCAGAACATTAGAACCATGGGAATTTGTCCAGCAAAAAAAAAAAAAAAGGCAGAACCTGTCAGAAAAGACACTTACAAAGCTAATCTTCTTTGGCATTTTGACCTGGGTAACAATGCCGCCACGTACATAGTCTGAAAAGCTGGAGGTGTCACCAATACTAAATGTGTAGGGGCCTAGAAAAGAATAAGAAGTACACCCTTACAGATGTCATAGGCAAAGCACCACACTGAAAAAAAAAAAAAAAAAAAAACAGCAGCACAGAATTGCCATATTAACTTGGACCAAGAGTCCGCAACAATCATGTCAAATTACTAGTCTTAGAGAACTTTCTTAATAGACATGAGGAAGAAGTAAGAGAAGATTTTTCTAATACTTCCACAATAGGATTAAATTGCAAGTAACTGTGGAAGAAAAGAAATGTGCCCCCATGGTGCAATAAATAAGCAGCAAAGAGAGGAGGCAGACTGTGGAAAATGTTTTTGTTATTCTGTGCCAGAGGAATTATATTCTGAATAAAGAACTGGAGAATGTTCAGGAAATTTAAAAAAATTAATAAAATGTTTTGTACAAGAGATTGGCTTCGTACCTAAAGATAGCCCTAGAAATACTAGCCTGGTATTTTTAACCACTACGCTAAACTGAGTAATTCAGGCTAAAATCCCAAGTTAATATTACTTATTAGACACTCTACATGATTCCCAATATACCAAAAGGTAATTTTGTCAAACAAACAAAACAACAACAAAAAAACCCCTTTGGCAGACACTTAATTCTAGGGACATCTAAATTTTGTGCAAGTCAGAGCAACACCATGCCTCACCCAATACTTTGATTTCCATCGGTTCACAGCTGTTAAGCTCTTTCATGCCTTCAACTTCCAAGAAAGAAACAAAGTCTCCGCTTTCAAAACCATGCCGAGCCTCATCTAGACAGGTTACCTCTCCAGGGCACCCCTGCACAGGAAAAAAGAAAACTGAACAAAGTTCTGATCATCTACTGTGGGTCTCGGTAAGAATAAATCCACCTCAAAAAGAGAGCCCCAACTGCCAGTCTCAAGAAGTAATTACCTTAGTAACCATTGAGACCATAGCACTAAGTGGTTGCTCTCCATTGGTATCTGTCACAACCATGTTCTCACCAAAGTCACAGAACAGCTGGCTGCAAGAGAGAGAAAATGGAGGAAGTTATTAGGCGCTCTGAAGCACCTTCAAGCACTGTGACAGGTGGCCTTAAAAGCCAGGATTGGTAGCCCACAGCTGGGCAGTGTGGCGCACCCACATATGGTGTTTGGGAATCCCAAATAGCTCATCCCAAATGAAAGAAGAACCCTACTGAAAGGAGGCTATAACACAGAAACAGGTATAGAAACAAGGTGCTGTCTTACCCAAAAAGTCCCTTTGTATCTGCCACTACAAGTTTGATATTTTGGCTGTGACAGAAATCACTAATACGTAACTGTTCCTCCAAGGGACAATTGGTGAGCACAACTACCTGCAAAAAGTAGATAGGCAGATGGGCGGTTATGAAATTGGAGGGACGAACAAATGAAAGAAAAAGCATTTGAAATAAATCACACAGAAATCCGAAGCTCTCCAGTATCAGCTCATCGTTCAGGCTTCCTGGGCTACGGTAAGTAATATTCCCAACCATGTCTTCTCTCCCATCCTATTATTTTTCATTTTATTTTGTACTGCACAAGAAACTCTCAAGAACATTAGATTTTTTGTGTATATAGAAAACACAGGGCAAACATATAACTAGATTGTTTACTGAACCAGGAAAGTAATTCTTGATATCAAGTATTTAGTAACCCTCTGCTCCCAAATGAGCTGGGAGAGTCTCGGGGTTGCCTTCGGCCTGTATCTATGAACGGAGCTGCAGCTGCAAGCTCCGATAGGGAAATTGAGCTCCTCAGCTGGTTGGGGCTAACAGCCCTTAGTCCCGAGCCATCCGGTGAGTAGAAGACCCTTTTTTTCTCTAATTTGGCTGAGGGAAAGAAGGGAGGGGAGGGGGGGCAGGAGGAAGGCGCCCCTTCCTTAGCAAGGGCTTGAATAGCCCTGATGGGGTAATTGAGGAAATAATTTCAAATTCCTATGGGAAAGGATTGGAAATTTGGTACTAATAATCAATTGAGAAGGAAGTTGAATCCAATTAGTTCTCTCAGACTAACAGCAAACTGGGGAAAGAAAATCCACCAATGGAGACTGTACCTGCCTAAGAGCCAAATCTGCACGTCTCTCGTGGGCAAGATCAAGTCAAGACTGGGATCTCTATGGTCCAGGACGGGCGTGGCAACTTTGGCTGACTTGATCAGATTGGGCAGGAATACAGTCTAAACCCATTGGTGGATTCTCCATCTCCAGTGCTGGAGAAATTAAGAAAATAAAGTACCTGGAAGTTATTAAGAAAGTCCTCACTGAGGGGCCCAGTGTAAGCAGTAACAGGTACATAGGAGTTGAGCTCAGCTAGCCGTGGTTGAGATACTTCAGCACGGTTCTTTCCAAGATCTTCCTCACGAAGGTAGAACTGGGGGGAAGGAGGGGGATGTTTTAGTAGTACATATATGTCACAATATAGGGAATCACAAACAGAGCCGAGGTGGCGCAGCAGTTAGAGTGCAGTACTGCAGGCCACTTTAGCTGACTGTGTTCAGCAGGTCAGAGGTTCAAATCTCACCGGCTCAAGGTTGACTCAGCCTTCCATCCTTCCGGGGTAGGTAAAATGAGGACCCAGATTGTTGGGGGCAATGTAAATATATATATATATACATTGCTTACTGGTGTACACCGCTTAGAGAGTGCTTGCACTTAAAGCGGTATATAAGTCTCATAAATAAATAAATAAATAAATAAATAAACAAACCACACTGAAGTGAATGGATGAAGATCCTACCTGGGAAGAAAGATCAGACCATTCAGCTATGCCTTGATCATGGATTGTGACTGATTTAACTCCGCCCAAGATGATGTTTTTTGCTATCTCCACACCTAATCCTCGCAAACCGGATACCAGGATGTTGGCATTCTGCATTCGTTTCATTGCCTCATGGCCCAATACATATCTATTCAAGACAAATTGGAAAAAGTTTAAATTTTCAGTACCCTGTTGGTCCAGCTTGAAAACAGAACATCCTATATACAGTTAGTTTCCTTTCAGCATCTGTTCAACAGCTCCACAACCTGTCAAAACTTATTATTCACATATCAGACTGGTACTAACACTCTACTTTTCAAAACAGGAGGCCTCCCACTCTCCTTTTGATACTTACAGCTGCCTTGAGTATAGACCCTCATCAATGTCTGTTTCACTTCCATTCTTGGCCATACCCTGGAAAGGACAAATATAATCACTTAGTCCTTTGCTGCCTTTTGATCATTAAAATAATGTGATAAAGGAACACAAAGAACAGCTGCTATTTGATTTCTATATTTTATCATTCTCAATGCATTTCAAATATTAATTATTTACCAAGGAAGAAGTACAAAAAGAAGTCAAGAGACCTGGTTAATTGAATGGCAACTCAGGGAATATACTTCACAAAACCACAACTGCATTCCAAGAAATAAGAACAAATACAAAAGGAAATAGGCATTACAGCATTCATTACAGTACAAAAAGCTAGATATAAGAGATAGTAACAATGGATACAATGACACATATATCTGCACATTAGTAAAAGTATACACAACTCAGAAACCTTACGTTGGCAGGCGCTTCACGCAAATCAGTCTGTATGGATTTTCCAGAGGAGCAATTTGAACCCGTCTTTGACTCTGATTCACCCAAGCGACGCTTCTTGGACAACGGCGAGCTGGACATCTAAATGCCACAACAGAAAATACAGATATAAGAATACAATGTTTGATAATCTACTCATTTTGCAGCAGGATGATGAATCTGCCCCAAACAAAAATATCCTATGTAATAGGAAAAGCCCTTATGGGAATAGGAGAGAAATACAAAAATAGTGGCTATTGAAATGAAGCAGGAGCAATTAGCAATTTCCTCCTAATACTAGTCCACAATCTTTACTGCCTGAGGGATCAAAAGATTTGCTCCAGATGAAGAACATGTTGCTACCATTGGTCTCTCAGGACACCAGAAGGGATTGTTCCCTAGGTCCCATTGGAGTGCTAATTGCAGCATCAACCAACTAAATCATACCAGTTAATCAAGTATAGCAAGCAGCACAATGGAAAACAACCTTTGAGGAAGCACCTTTACGTTCTGTCTAAAAAAAAGTACCTTATATTGGATCAATTGAAAAGGGCACCATTTTTCTTAGCAGTTTTCTCATCAGAAAAAAACAAGTATTTCCAGTGTGTCAAAACAATACGGTGTGCTGTTTTAACTGTTTTAAAGTATGTAGTTCGTTTTTAATCTACTATATAAAGCTAGTTATTTTTCAATGCTATATCTATTATCACAGAAATCTGAACCAGATGACATCAGTTTAGGCTGTTCTTTCATGGCAAATGGATTGCCACAGAAAGAACTTAAGTAATGAACAGGCTAAGGAGGGGCTACTAATGAATCAGTTTTTTGGCAAAAAAGAGCAGGTGAATCACTCTTAGCTGGCAAAAATGATATTATTAACAATTTCCATGAGTTTCCAGCTTACAGAGCATTAGAATGTAATATTATTAAAATGTTTTTATACTTCTAAGAAGCGTTCCAACAGCTTACAGTAAGAAGACTTCTGTAGAAATTGATAAAAACACTCCAAAAGAAAATATAAAGGTGGACTTGATCAAACAACAGCTAGTTTTACATATCAGGCTAAGCCAAAAACCCTAATTTATAGTGGTTGGATTCGTGCAACACCCATTATCACTCTGCCAGTTTGTGAATCTAGTAAATACTTTTTAGTGCTAAGAAGATTCAGTTCTATTGCTTCTAGATATATAGCTTCATACCTATCAACTTTGAAGCCCCACTGAAATCTTTAGGTATTTCTCTAGAAAGCGAACTCTAAACTGCAAAAACTTAAACTGATAGTCCAATACCTATGTGTATTCATCTATTCACTTGGAAAAATTCACACATTGTTGATCCTAAGAATAAAAAGCATTAATCCAGAATGAGTTATTTTTTATTTTATCCATCCATTTATTATTTTATTCCTATATCTGCCTATTAATATTTATAAATTAAGTTACTAATTCTGAGTAAATACAAATATTTATAATAGGAATAATCCCAATAATCAGAACATTAGTCCAGCTCTTTTTTGCAATTATCCTAACACAGGGGTAGGCAACCTTGGCTCTTTTATGACTCGTGGACTTCAACTCCCAGAATTCCTGAGCCAGCCATGCTGGCTCAGGAATTCTGGGAGTTGAAGTCCACAAGTCATAAAAGAGCCAAGGTTGCTTACCCCTGTCCTAACAAATTCCAATTTTACAACGTATTACCATTTAGAGTGGTAAATGCAGGTAGGAAAAGGCACGAAGAAATGTTCACTATCAAGTACAGGTAGCCCTCAATGTATGACCAGTTAATGACCATTCAAAATTACAATGGACCACCCAAAAGCTACTAACAACCCTTTTTGAAGTTACAAAGGCTATTTACACACATACCCCACAGTCATATGATTGCATTTTGGGCAACTGGCCATTGTTTGCTGCATCCATTATGATCATTTGCAGCACCCTGCAGTTAAGTCAGAGGTTCTTAACCTTTTTGAACAAATCGCCCCTTGAGCCAATGAGGAAGTTGTCATCGCCCCCCTCCCCCAACATAACCTCTCAATCACAACATAGGAAACAATTCTTCAATTTATGCAAACACTTTTTTTTTGTTTTCTTTAAAATTGTCATCAGGACGTATCGATGCAAATAATTTATTTCCAGTCTTTTTCCCATATCTCCCATATTCTGGCCAATGGCGCACCACTGTATGGGTAGAGGCTGCTCCAGCACAACGTGCATGAAGATAAGCGATGCATATTCACATATGTACGGTGTTCTGTACTGAAGCTAGCTGGAGGAACCTTTGAAAACACAATTCAATCCACTAATAGCGAGCGATCTGATGTTTTTGTACGACAGATATACAGCGATTCACTGTACGAAAAAGTCTCAAAAGTGTCCCCAAAACTTCTTGCTCCATCACCCCCTTTTCGTTCCTTCACCCCCATGACACCCCTTTTTGTTCCATCGCCCCCCTGAAAAATGAAATCGCCCCCTGGGGGGCAATATCGCCCAGGTTAAGAACTACTGAGTTAAGTGACCACAATTTGCAACCTTGTTTGTCAAGTTCTGACATTTACTTCATATCTGGCAAGAAATGCCCATTGGGGAAAATTGACTGACTTAACAACTGCTGCAAAAAAAGATTAAGAAAACCAATCTGGTCACATGATGCCTTGGTTTATAATAATTTATGACCATAAAGCTGCACTCAGTTATGATCATACAGTCGAGATCTATCTGTACTACAAATGCATTGGTAGAAAGCATTTCCTTATTTCTTCCTAAGGATATGCTTACTTAAACAGGTAAGAACGAGATTCTTTGATTGAATCCTACTCTTTTTACCTATAGCCTACTTAAATCCATCCAGTGGTATTACATTTATTTTTGTGTATGATTTCAGTCTGGGTTTCAGTTCTCATTATCAGCTCTATTCATCCTCCTAGAAAAATAGTTGCTTACAACCCTATTATTATTGCAACCCCTGTATCATGAGCTCAATAAATGAGCATCCATTCAAAAGAGCATCCAGTTCTTTTGCCATACGTACGCCATACAGCCAGCTCAACGGTGCTATATTATCATGATGCCAGACACAAATGACTGAACTTCCTCAGTCAAAAGAAAATCCTAGTCAAAAATACATGTTAGCCAGATGCTATCTTGGAAGTGCTGATACTTTTGTTCTAGCAGCAAAGTAGTATTATTCTGGATGTGTCTTAAGAAATTACAGCATGAAAGGGAAAGCAACATAGGTTCAGCAACAATGGCTGAAATGATTCTCAAACCAAAGAAACTATCATGCTAGCTGCAAGGTAAGCTAACAACACTTGAAAGTTTTAATGTATGTAATTCAGTCAGTTTCTGCAAAGCTAATACTTATTTACCACCTTTCCTCCCAATTGTATCTATGATTTTAGCGTTATATAAGTACATGTAGTCCTTGACTTACAATCGTTCATTTACTGTCCGTTCAAAGTTACAACAGAACTGGAAAAAATGAGTTATGGCCATTTTTTCACACTTAGGACTGTTGCAGCATTCCTCACAGTCACGTAATCAAAATTTAGATTCTTGGCAACTGACTCATATATACGACAGTGGCAGTGTCCTTGAGTCAGTTAATGGGAAAGCCAGATTCACTTAACAACTGTGTTACTAACTTAACAACTGCAGTGATTCACTTAACAATTGTGGCAAGAGAGGCCATAAAATGGAGCAAAATTCACTTAACAAATGTTTCGCTTAGCAACAAAAATCCTGGGCTCAGTTTTGGCTGAAAGTCGAGGACTACCTGTAATCTTTTCTATCTGCTTGTAAAAATAAATCACAAAGAAAAGGAAGGATTTCTTGTTCCTTTATAACTGTAAAATGACTGCAGTTATTCGTGTTTCACACCACTGTAACATTTTACTTTCTGATTAAATACAATTCCTTCTGGTTTTTGAAAAAGAATGTACCATATTCAATCATCCAGCAAGGAAATGTCAACAGCAAGTTAGTTTCCAGATTGAAGAGAAGCAGTTTGGAAAAGAGCACCAATAGGCATAACACAGTAGGAAGTACAACAGATTTCAAATCAAAATCAGGCTAACAAAATTAGGGAGCATATTTTCTTTTCTCAATGTGTGGAAGAATATATACAAGGTCAATTAGGTTTTTCCTGCTTCAAAACAAAAATAATGGAAAAATAAAAAGCCTCAGGCAATGTAGAGTAAAAATATAAAAAGACTGAAGTAAAAATGAAAAAAATAAATAAATAAAAGGAAGACTTTTACTGAGTTAAATCACATTACTGATTTATGGTAACAAATGCAGTAATCAGTAACAAAAGGATCATATAAAAATAAATTTAGTTACAAACAGTTCTTTCGCTCAGCTTTTGAAAAAAGAACATTCCTGTTACATCTGAGTTATGGCTGTATTATCAGACAAGAATTTTTTTGAGACTATGTGTTCAATTGCTATGTTTCTGATTCTGACAATTGATCTGCTGGTTGTTATATTTCTATAATTACATACAAATTTGTACCTCTCTGAAGTGGGTTTTGAGGCTATCTGGGGAAGGGGGGAGAGAAAAAAAAATGTCCTATATTATAAAAAGACACTGCTACTGCTGAGTGAGGCATACAACTGGACCTAACATGCTCAGCATTATAACCATGAAATTCCAGGCAAAGACAGCTTCCATTACTTAAGTTAATCCATCCTTTATGCAAGGACCATTGAGGAAACCACAGCTGTCAGCTTTTTGATTAATAAAACCAAGTGAGCACTGGGTTCAGCAATTGTTTTGGTGTGTTGTTTAAGTCGTATATCTCTAATAAGAATGACAATGTTTATTTAGCCAGTACATTCACTGAACTAAAAGGCTATCAAACGGTACTGATAGTCCTAAAAGATAATTTTTACTATACTCACCTCTCCAAAGTTATATTTGTAGTAATTTTCTAGCAGAAATGACTGAAGTAGAATAAATTAAGCAGAAAAAGGCAAAGGGAATTATTTTGAATGAAGAATAATTTAATTCAAAAATTATCCAAAGAATTTTGGAAGAATTTCCAGTTTAACTCATAGATTAAATATCAGCCATTATTACTTTTTTTTAAAGAAATCTACAGG